CCCCAAACCCTTAAACCCTAACTCCCTAAACCCCTAAGCCCTAAACCCTAAACCCTAAACTCCCTAAACCCTAAACCCTAAACTCCCTAAACCCTAAACCCTAAACCGGTAGTTTCAGAGGGGCTCGAAAACGCTTTGCCCCAGGCTAGATCCGCTGCGCCTCCGCCCAGACTTGAAACCCGAAATATAAGGGCCTAGATAATCATGAATACTGTTTTGGGGTTTCCTTATCCTCGTTATAGTGTAATATACCCCAAAACCCTATTCTAATTATTAGATCCACCACATTGTACGACACCCCAACCCAAAACCCCGATCCTGGGCCCAATACTCTAAACCTACGGCTCCCGCCCTCCTACACCACACCCCCGAAATCGGAATCCTAAGTCGTACAAAACCTTGCCGTACAAGATCCCTGAAGCCTTAGAAAACACGTTGCAAGGCTGCGGTGGATCTAAATCGCCTCTTGGATCTTGACGTGGCCACTGCGCGGGACCAACTCAGGACGACCCAGAGGGTCAGAGAAGACACCCTAAACCCTAAACCCTAAACCCTAAACCCTAAACCCTAAGTCGTTTTGGGGTTTGCAGCTTGGGGTTCACCCCAGAGATTCGAGGGATTCCCGGGTTGTCTCGGACTTCTGGGAGATGGTGTTGGGATTGAACAGAGTTTGGCATTGATGGGCCTAGGGGGGGTTTGGTAGTTTGGGGCTTGGGGGTCGGGTTCGGAGTTGGGGGTTCGGGTTGATGGGTTTAGGGTTTGGGAATTTGGGGGCTCAGGGTTTTGGATTTAGGGTTGATGATCTCGGGAGTTCAAACCCCAAACAGAGCCTCATTCTGTATGCAAACCCTTCTAGGAGCCCGTAACGGAAACCTTAAAAGAACCCTAAACCCTAAACCCTGAACCCTAAACCCTTAAAAGAACCCGAAACCCAAAACCCTAAACCCTCAACCCTTAAAAGAACCCTAGACCCTAAACCCTAAACCCTTAAAAGAACCCTAAACCCTAAACCCCTTAAAGGAGCCTCCATGACACGGGGCAAGCTGGCCTCTTCCATGGGCAGTCCTTCCCGGCGGGTCATGCGGCAACGGACCTTGCGCCGCTGGGCTGCAGGATTTAGGTTTTAGGGTCTAGGGTCTAGGGTTTCGGCTTTAGGCTTTAGGGTTTAGGGTTTTTGATGTGGCTTTGTGAGCTTCTCTTGTCAGTTTATCTTTACTCATGGGCTTTCTGGGGTATTTATAGGGTTTGCTACGAGCTCACTAGGCTCGGCTCATGCTTCGTTGAGGTTTAGCAGCCCAGGGGTTGATCGAATCGCAACAAGATGCTCGTAACCCCCTAAACCCTAATCCCTAAACCCTAAACCCTAAACCCTAAACCCTAAACCCTAAACCCTAAACCCTAAACAGATCGCGACCCCAACACCGAAAGCAGACGCGCCACCCGAGACAAAAGCTGTGAAGCCCACTCATTATCCTCCCACCGAGGGCCAGCATCTTTGCTGCGTAGGGTATTGGCATACCCTAAAATCACAGAGCTGTATCGATGCAGGGCCACGGGTGCAAGCTTTTGGGGTCAATGTTACAGGTCTAGGGTTCAAGGCAGATGGGAGGCTTAAAGCTACTCCATCGTTCTCTTGGGTTCAGGTTGTGGCTGGCAAAGGACACGGTGCAGACGTCCTATGCCATCCAATGGGAAGAGGCCATCATGTTGGGATTACGTTGGCCATAGGGCTGTGGGGATGTTGTTGCGATTGCCGAGTGCCAAAGCCCCAAAACCTAAACCACCTGCAAGCCTTAAAGAGGCCTAAAAAATTACCAATACTATTTTGGGGGTTCCTTGTTGTAGTTATAGTATAATATACCCCAAAGCCCTAGTCTAATTTGTCAAGGCCCCTACATTACACCCTATACAAAGAACCCTCCCAAAAGCCCAAGCACCCTAAGGTCAGAGATTTGAGCCCTAAACTCTAAGCCCGAAATCCTAAACTCTAAGCCCTCCGTCCTAAACCCTAAACCCTACACCCTAAACTTTGGCCCTAAACCCTAAACCCTAAACCCTAAGGTGGCCCTGATTTAAAGTTCAGGGCTTCGAGCCGTATGCTCTGGTCGACGTCCAACGCCTCCCAAGCTTTGATCTCCGGTTCGACCAGTTCTTCCGGCATGACAAGCGAGCTGGCTGCGGGTTTTCCCAGGGTTTTGAGGGGGCTTTGGTTGGATTTTGAAAGGTTTTGAGGTGGATGCGTTTTCTTGGGTTTTGGCGGGGGTCTTGGCGGGCGAGGTTACATCCATCCTGCTGAAGTTCGAAACGTGTTGTCCCCGCCAAATCACTCCTCTGTGAAAACGCCCCATGCCCAGCTAGCTTCTTCCTCAACTGTTTGCATATCTATCTGTGATCCTATCTCATCATTCAGGTTCCAACTTCGCGATCTTGGACTGTCGGTGCACCGTCTGCCCCGAAACCCGAAAAAGGGGCCTCGAGACTTGCAGCCAAGGCACTCCCTCTACGCGGAGATGGCAGCATCCGCTTGGCATTTCCGGGTGCTCCGAGATGGTTTCCTCGTGGCCTCTCGGCTCGAACGGAAGTTCTAAGGTTGAACCCATGGGCCCCTAAGATGGGCCCTTAATTAGGGGATTCTAGGGTCCCTTAAGGGTATATCTAGGGTAGATAGTAGGTATATTAGGGTCCCAGGGTTAAGGGCCCATACTAGGGGCCCATGGGTTCTACCTTAGAAATGGCAGTCCTTCACCCCGAGCCTCACGGGAAAGGGCCCTTTACTTCAGGAGTCGTTCTCGAAATTACCGGTCCCTTTTTTTAGGTCGCCAAGATAGTACGGCACCCTTGTAAAAAGGACCCCCCCAAAGGGACCCTGATTTAGAGAAGAGCTTAGCCTGTAGACGGGCTATGAAGATGATGGAAGGTATATTCCTTGCTGATGGGGTATCGCCCCCTCTAGTGAAAGGCTGTTGTGATGGGTTCAGCCACACCCAGCATGGAGCAAGAGAGTGTTTCGGGCTGAGGGGTGAGAGACTTACTGTAAGCCACAAGGCCTCCAGCTTTTGATTGCTGTTTGCCTAAACCCTAAATCCTAAACCCTAAACCCTAAACTGCCCTAAACCCTAAACCCTAAACCCTAAACCCTAAACCCTAATTTATAGGGTTGAAGAGCAGTGGGTGTCGCTCTGCAAACCCGTAACTCCCGACGGCGATACACCGAAACAGTGAACCCTCCCAGGCTGATGCCCGGAGACCGTAAACCCTGCAGGCTCTAAGCTTCAAAAGGCATCAACATCCCCAAATACCCTAAACCCTAAACCCTAAACCCTAAACCCTAGGGTTTAGGGTTTAGGGTTTAGGGTCTAGGGCTACTTCAAGGACCAGCCGCACGACAAGACCGGTCCACCACCCTCCGAGGAGGTCAGTTGAGGGACTGTAGGTTAAGGGCTTAGGGTTTGGGGTGAAAGGGTTTAGGGTTTAGGGATTTTTCCGTCACCCTTTTATCGGTGCATTTCAGGAGCCGTAACTTGTTCTTGAGGCTTGGAGCCAAAGCTTGTAAACCTGAGGCTATAGTGGGCTTCCCCGTCATCTTCGTATAAGTAAATTATAGAGGGTTCCTTAAGATACACTGCTCCTCAACGAAGGAGTTTGGAAGTCTCTAAACAGCACCCTCAGCCTGAACCCCTGAGTTAGCACTAAACCTTACCACCCGGGCCCCAGCAAAGAACACCACAAGACAAAACAACAAAGAAACCAAACACACAAACACAGCAAGCACCACAGAAAGTCCAACCATAGATCCCACGCCCTAAAACCCTGAACCCTCAGCCCTAAACCCTAAACCCTAAACCCTGAACCCTAAGCCTTGAACCCTAAACCCTAAACCCAGCCCTAAGGCCTGAACCTGATAAACACAGAGTTGCGAGGATCATGCTCTGCGAGTCCACGCCAGCGGCCTGATGCGTCGCAAGTTCCGGGAGCTCCGCTGTCGTCAGCTTCAAACAGTTTTTGGCACCTTGGAGGACCGCGGGTTTAGTTTTTTTTTTTAATCAGTTTTTTTTTTATTTAAGGGGTTTTAGGGTTTTTAGGGTTTTTAGGGTTTTTAGGGTGTTTAGGGTTTGTTTTAGGGTTTAGGGTGTAGGGTTTTATGGCACCTTGGAGGACCAGAGGGGCTCATTGTTGGGATTTTGGTATAGGTTTTCTAAGGGTATATACTGTCTCCTCAGGCTGAGGGTCCGAAACACCTCTAGGGTACCCCTAAACCCTAAACCCTAAACCCTAAACCCTAAACCCTAAACCCTAAACCCTAAACCCCAAACCCTAAACCCCAGAGACACGGAATCATCAGCAAAGGGGGCCAGCTTAGGGCTTCCGGGCTTTAGAAGCTTCGGCTATAGGGCCATAAGAGCTCATAAGGACTTCGACGGCTCTCTGAGCGGGGGAGCGGTTCGAGTTTCGGGTTTAGGG